TCAGATTACACAGCACACTAGGTGACATGCGCAGGTTAGCGTGAACCCCATTGGTTGTATTTACTTCCCATTCACAGATGGAATTTCGGAGGATAGAATTGTATATAACAGGATAAAGACCGATTCCGATTTGTAGATGACGAGGACCAACTGAACCAGGAGCCGGAACCTCCAACGTTGGGGTGGGCAAACTCTGGCCCTCTGGTTGTGTTGAAACTACAAATCCCAGCATGCATCCGTCTCTGGGCATCATTCATGCAATGCCTTATGGGATTTGTAGTTCCACAACAGCTGGAGTTTGCCCACCCCTGTGCTAACGGGACACCAGGGAGCCTTCTTTGATACATCACTTCATGCGCCTGCGTAAGACCCCATTCACACCTAGCGACATACCTTTTGCAGCGGATCCGCACGGCCGGGATAGCGCGACTTTCGGGGCGACGTTCCAGCGACGGTAGCGCGACCTTCCCCGTCGGGCTCCATAGAAAAAAAGCAAAATCGCGCAAAATCCGCAGAAAAAAGGGTCCGGTAGAAGCGACTTGCGACCGCGACGAGCGACATGGAGTTAAGACAGCTCCATTGAATAACATTGGCCGGCGACTTCTCGCGATATCGCGCGGCAAAAATGCGCGATATCGCGGCGGAAATCGCGCGACAATTCGCTATATGTGAACGGGGCCTAAGACTTTTCCCGAGCAACACACAGGAAATGCGCCGGAATCCTGACGGCCCTTTCAGATCACATCTCTATGAACGTCTACAAAACTTGCTTGCCGTGACTTATCTCCGATGTACTCTTCAAAGCGGCACGTTACAAATTCACTTATCAAAAAATGCAACATAAATGGACACCGACCTTCCCACCGAGCTGGCCAAATCTCGCCATCTGTATCAGGTAATTCTCCACAGCTTTGGCCTTCTTGTCCGGCGTCCCCAGGGCAAGGTTATTCAGTGAAAAAGAAGAGGAGGACTTGAGCACAGATCCACATTCTGGGTACGCCCCCCTTCCACATAATACAGGGAACAGGGGTAGGTAACCTCAGCTAGCCAACTGTTGTGGAACTACAAGTCCCATGAGGCATTGCAAGACTG